CCATGGGAGAGAAGGAAGGCTTCATGCGTTTCAAACTACAATCAGTGAGGGTCGATTGTACAGGAAAATGCCACCAGCCATTGATAAGTAAAACATCTAACCTAATGGATGGGGAGTGCGTCGGAGTCTATTGTGCTGAGCTATATATTAGACAATCCTTCGAGCTTCCTGAGTACTAAAGTATTTTCTTATAGCGAAATAGGGAAAGCTGTTAAGACAGCCATCAATGAAAAAAACTGTATACAAACTATTAATATATATACCGACATCCAGGCGTAATTAAGGCACATCATCTCAAATCGTATTGCGTCAAAATGTGTCCTTAGAAAGGCTAATAAGTTTGAGGTAACAAGAATATTATGGTTAAACAAAAAGATGATAAGATTGCCAAAAGTGTCATCCGGCATGCTGACGACCCAGTAAAGGATATACAAAAGTCGCTAAAAGCGATATATCAAAAAATTTCCAATTTCAGAGTGAGATAGAACGCATTAGCGACACACAGACACCATAAAAAAAAATCATGGGAAAGTGCAGCGAAGGAAATAAGCATTTCTTGCTTACACTTCCGCATAAGAACTGCATGATAGTTGTTGGCCTAATGACGGGCCACAAGCTACTGCTATACCATGCAAGCAGAATTGGCATTAGTAGCACCGACATAGAGGAAGGCATGAGACGTTAGAACACCTCCTTGGCTTAAGTCCGGTCTTAGACAGAGCTCGTCTTAGATGTCTCACAGCTTTGCAGTGAAAAGAACTAAAGCAGGTTTAAAAATTTAATATTACGATTTCTTGAGCTTATTTTCCATTAATTTTATTGTATTTCATTCAAAAAAATGTGTCTCAGACCAATTTCCGAGTGTAAAACGACACGTTATTTTTGTTCGCCAGCAAGGTGGAAGAATTGCATATACATTAGAGCTGGAAAAAGAGGCAGTTGAGAATCTAAGTAGAACAAGATCGATGAAATCAATTTTATCTGCTCTTAAACTCTTTTTAGTTGTTGTAGGAAAGCAAGTATAAGGTTGGGAAGGACCAGTTTTTCGGATTCTAAAATTTCATTTACTGTTTTAAATATTTTTTTGACAATAAGAATTAAACCAACAATTTAGTGTCGGATTCTCACTATGATCTCATATTGATGATTTGTTAAAATGTTTACATTTGAATTAATATGAAAACTGAAGGCCTAATTCCTGTTTCAATTGGGTAATAATATCGTGCCCTTTTTATATTTTTACTTTTACCTTTTCCGTTATCCTACTACCCTTTTTTGTTAGAACGTATGTGGCTTGCAAAAGTACTACCTTTTATATTAAGTGAACTGAATTTTCTCTTGGAAAAAAAAATTTTTAGCAGATGACGTTATTTTGATGGGAATACGCATCTACTTAGGGATAGATAGATATTGATGTATATATGAGTATATCAACGAATGGGTGAAATCGGACCATGTACACGTTCATTTCCCATGGTAATTTCGAAAGTAGGAAAATCGCCATAATTCAGTAGATAATTCAGTTGCAATTAAGGTCATATCTGTGAGATATAATCGCCTTAAATAGAAAATTACGAGAGTTGGACAGGGCACCTACCGCTTTTGGGTAAAAAAATATATAATTGGATACAAATCAATGAAATTTAGAATTTATATATAATTGTATATGAGCGCAATTGGCCAACCTGCACCATGCCTTCTTCTTAAACAACGAACTGTTTATTTTCGTCCATTTCGTTCAGAAAATTTTGATGCAAAAGACCAAAGTGTAAAAGTCATTTGTCCAAAATGTCAATAAAACAATGGAAATTGTCGATTGCTTAGGAAGTAAACGTTGCACGATAAAGAGGTTTTGAACCACTTGCAAAAACTGGGTGCACAAGAAACTCACATAAGATATCGAGAAAAGTCCACATGTGCCGAATTTCATCGCTGATGAAACGAAAAAAATATTAACCTATTTCTGAAAAGAATGCTCACTGGTAATGAAAAGTGACTCACTTATATTGTAGTTACGACAAAAAAAAGAACGTTGAGAGGGCAGTGAGCGCGCACAAACGGCATGCATTCCAGGATTGAGAGCCACTATTAGCTGCTCCTTACGGTCATTGTACTGTCAGCAATGGGACCGTCTGAAGTAGACAATCTCCCAGAATTACCCAACTTTGGCAAACAATAGGGGATTTGTATTTCATCAGGAAAAAGTCAGAAGATACACTTCGACTGGGATTCACCAGAAACTCTTCTAGTGGTGACTAAAATATATCGATGATTAAAATAGTTTTATGGTAATAGATTTATTTGGTTTAAAATTGTTTTAAAAATGTATTTTTCAAAAATATGTAGTATATTCAATTGGGACCTTCTTAACTAGAAATGTAGTTATTTCCATGTTTAACTCTTTCGACCCCAGAGTTGTTTATAAGCAACAATAACTTAAAAACAATAATTTTTAGAAAACGGTATTCACCAACTTACTTATAGTTCTGAGAACACAAGCACAGTAAACACTTTTGCATTTAGTTTATTGTAACGAGATTATACAGCAGTAAACGAATTGGCGGCCGCGGTAGCCGAGTGGTTAGCATTTCTAATTGCGGTCGTCCCTCGGCAGGGAATGTCAACTACTCCGAGTGTATTTCGGACATGAAATGAAGGCTCCACGTAAAAATTCCATCAACCGTTTGGAGGCGGCTTTGTATAAACTGTAGGTACCTCCATTTGTTGGAAAAAAAAACATCAAGATGCAAAATCACAAATTAGAGGAGGAGCTCGGCGGAAATCACTTCAGCGGTTATAAAGCGCCAGTTATTGAGTTGCCCAAAAAGTAATTGCGGATTTTTCATATAGTCGGCGTTGACAAATTTTTTCAACGGCTTGTGACTCTGTAATTGCATTCTTTCTTCTATCAGTTATCAGCTGTTACTTTTAGCTTGCTTTAGAAAAAAAGTGCGCGAAATTTTGTTTACATTTGTTTGTTTGGCGTCAATTTTAATATGGAGCCCACAAAGGAGCATTTTCGTCATATTTTACTTTATTATTTCCGTAAAGGAAAAAACGCGGAGCAGGTTGCTAAAAAGTTACGAGATGTGTATGGTGATGAAGCCTTAAAAGGAAGACAGTGTCAAAATTGGTTTCGCAAATTCCGTTCTGGAGATTTTTCACTTAAAGATGAGCCACGTTCAGGTCGGCCAAATGAAGTTGATGATGACCAAATCAAAGCATTAATCGAATTGGATCGTCATGTAACTGAGCGTGAGATAGGAGAGAAGTTAAATATACCAAAATCAACCGTTCATTATCACATAAAAAGTCTTGGACTGGTGAAAAAGCTTGATATTTGGGTACCACATGTATTGAAAGAAATTCATTTAACACACCGAATCAACGCTTGTGATATGCACCTTAAACGCAATGAATTCGATCCGTTTTTAAAACGAATCATAACTGGAGATGAAAAATGGATTGTTTACAACAACGTTAGTCGAAAACGATCATGGTCCAAGCATGGTGAACCAGCTCAAACCACTTCAAAGGCTGATATCCACCAAAAGAAGGTTATGCTGTCTGTTTGGTGGGATTGGAAGGGTGTCGTATATTTTGAGCTGCTTCCAAGGAACCAAACGATTAATTCGGATGTTTACTGTCAACAATTGGACAAATTGAATACAGCCATCAAGGAGAAGCGACCAGAATTGGTCAATCGTAAAGGTGTCATATTCCACCAGGACAACGCTAGACCGCACACATCTTTGGTCACTCGCCAAAAACTGAGTGAGCTTGGCTGGGAACTTTTGATGCATCCACCATATAGCCCTGACCTTGCACCATCAGACTACCATTTATTTCGATCTTTGCAGAACTGCTTAAATGGTAAAACTTTCGGCAATGATGAGGCTATAAAATCGCACTTGGTTCAGTTTTTTGCAGATAAAGGCCAGAAGTTCTATGAGCGTGGAATACTAAATTTGCCAGGAAGATGGCAAAAGGTTATCGAACAAAATGGCAATTATATATTTGATTAAAGTTTATTCTAAGTTTTGTTAAAAATGAATTTACTTTCTTTTAAAAAATCCGCAATTACTTTTTGGGCAACCAATATATATATAAAAGAAGAAACAAGCCAGTAGTGTGCGATTTTTACTGTACAAGAAAAGCTTAATTTTTGAAAAGTACAAGAAAAAAATTTATAAAAATACTGATGCTGTTTTAAAACTAAAAGCTGAAAGAAAAAGCGTGCTTTAATAGATTGATGAAATTTTGCACACCTAGACTGCAGGAATTTTGTATTGCTTATAAGCAACTTCTCATATCTCGTTACCAGGTAGGTGCCAGACCTTGTTACCTTCTAATTCCCCAAATTACTATCAAATCAGCACAAATTTAGCAAAAATAGTTTTTCTGAGCAGAGTTTTATGAGCGTTCTCGAAAGCGTTAAATATCAGCTTTTCTTCCAAATACCTTTTCATATGGAATTCATGAATTTGCGTTCAATTATCCAAAACGTACTTAAGTACATACGTTCAAAACCTAAGCAATACGTAGTTTTTAAAATAAATATTTCCTTATTGAAATAATCAAACTGATTTTTTAAAAAACTCGCAAATCAAAATAAAAAGGTTTAAATGGTTTAAATTGTGCATATTTAAAATAAAGTTTGTCAAACTCTTAGTCAAACTTCAGTATGAGTATTTTTCCTGTTTGGTCCTTTAGTTCTAATGTTTTTTGATTTATAATTATAAAGTTCGTGCTACACTTTTTCTTAAAAACGCAGTTTTTCAGCTACAAAAAACACATTTTCTACGCCAAAATATAGTTTTTTTTTTTAATACTAAATTCACTGATTTTCACTTTAAATTAATCCTCAGAACCTTGATTTCATACACAAATAATTGTGCTGTGTGTATATCCTTTAGTTCATTTTTTTTTTAAATCCATAAAAATGTATTTTGTATAATCTTTTTTTTTTTTTGTTTTTACTAATATATGAACACACTAACCAGCAATTCCGTTTCCGTTTATATGTTTGTATTTATTTGTGGTGCCAAAGTATGAAGAACTTTTTCGCCTCGCTCGTTTATTGCCACAAGTTGTAACCGATTCCGATTCCGTTAAATGTAAACTGCGACTTTCAACGAGCGCATCTTGCATTTTTATACCAAAAATTAGTGTTTTCATTTTCTCAAGCTACGCTTTGTTACACTTCTCAGTGCCACTTTGGTGTTGTAGCTACATACATACATACACACATTCATACAAACATACAATATGTACATTTGAATGGGCGATAGAGTCAGATGCAATATTATTGTGATGTAGTTTTTTTGTATGTATACGTGTACATATTTGTACTTGTTTCAAATACACTTCATGCACATCTTCAACTCATTCTCTAGCAAAAAAAAAAAATGTAATAATACAAAATAAAACAGTCGCTATTGAACGAAATCTATTACAATTTTATGTAATCTCAGCAAATGTTTTATAGCAGCTGTTGGGCTTGATACAGTTGTTGTTTTTGCTAATAGAGACGCTTACTCTTGTCTGCTTTTCAAACGAAAGCAAAAGTTGTAAATATAAAAAAAACCACTGAAGTTCAGCGCTGACAAGACAAGGTAAGGTGTACGCTGCGCATGCGCATCACACTCAGCTGTGCTCACTTATCGATGGCGCTCAGCGATAGTGCTTCTTTACACTCATTTTCTTTCCATCATTTTTGCAAATTTATATTGTTGTACCATATAAGAATTATATTTTTTGTTTTTGTTTTCTATCCACTTTTTTTGTTTGCTCTTTCTCTTGCTTTATTAATCAGCTTGGCGCTGTGGGCAGACGCATAGGCATTTAGAGAGCAACTTACTCTATGCGCCAAGTGTTTAGCTTCCCAAATATTTGGTTATATGCGTCGTATTGTCGCCTCGAGAGATGGGAAAATTATATTATTATTTTGAAATTTTTCGCTCAACTTTCGTAAAACACAAAGCGGCGGATACGGATACTTACGGTTGGTTTGAGTGTTTTGACCAATATTTGTATGTTTTATGGGGATTGCGTATTTTAGCTTGGTTTAGCTGTTGATTTGTAATAAATTATTAACAATTTCGCTTGTTTAAAAAAATTTTTATGGTCTATTAGTTACAACTATTCACTGAAGACATAATTTAATGCCTAGCTATTGCTACAAGGTGTGAAAATTAAAGATCTCAAAGCGATCTTCTTACAGTTAATTAGACATGGGGAAAAGAAGAATTAAATAATAATAAATTAAAAAATTAAATACAATTTGGTTCCTTTGACTAGGGTCGTTTTCGTTTGACATTGCTGTAAGTGATCCATTTTTCAACACCAATCACCATACACTTCAGAAATGCTTCGATTTTGTTATTGTTTGAATGCATTAATTCGTGCGGTTTTAGACATTTAATGTTCAAAGTATTGCCCATCGGAAGCTACGATGTTTGCCCATCTTTCTGGCAGTTTGTGGATCCCATCCCAAAAAAACTTCTCCGGCTTGGAGGTCAAGAAAGAATTGAGCCAATTTCTGATACCTTGTTCTGAAGTGAAGCGTACTCCGGTGAGACCATTCTGCATTGATCTGAACAAGTGATAATCGAAAGGTTTTCCTTATAGTTTTTAACTGGTCTTGCAACATGTGGCCGAGCGTTGTCATGATGAAAAATTATGGATTCGTGTCTGGTCGCGTATTCTGGTCATTTTTCCGCGTTGGCCTTTTTCAAACGAAACAATTGTTTTCGGTAGGGGCCCCCATTTATCGTCTCACCCGATTTCAATAGCTCATAATAGAGCACACCCTTGTGGTCCCACCAAAAACATAGCATAACCTTGGCACCATGGGTATTCGGCTTTGCCGTGGATGTTGGTGGTTGGCCGTGCTTCACATACGATCTCTTGCGCTTTGGGTTATCATAATGAATCCGTTTTTCATCGCCACTGACAAACCAATGCAAAAATGACTTCTTTTGGTGGTGTTGAAGCAACATCTCTTGGCTTCAATTCATAAGGCACCCAATTTCCAAGCTTCTGGAAGAATCCTAATGATTTTAATTGTCTGGAAACGGTTGCTTGATCAACTCCTAATACTTTTGTAAGTTCTTTCTGCATCTGGCATGCATCTGTGTCGAGCAATGTCTTCAAATCTTCAAATCTTTTTTTGTTGTCCGGGTCGTTCTCCGTGGCTTAAGTCGAAATTGCCACTTTTAAACCGTGGGAACCACTTTTGGCGCGTTCATTCGGCTAAAGCATAGTCACCATAAACGTCTTATAAAATACGATGGCTTTCGGTAGCACTTTTCTTCATGTTAAAGTAATGAAGAAGAACTCCCCGCAAACTTATCTAGTACAAATTTCGACATTTTCAAATGAATGAAACAAATTGTTGTTCACGGTAAAACAAATGACATTTACTGAAACGACGCGAAATAACAGTACCTTTGAAGTGACTATAGCCACAGATCAACACGACGCGAAATAATACTAGCCCTCTCTTAGAAACCCGCACTTTTCGTAGACGGAAATTTGGTCCATGTGTTTTTTTCTCGTTATCTCAAATGTCCAAATTTCTTATAAAGAAATGAGTTTTTTTTTGAAACTCTCTTTGGATCATAATTTAAATTACTCTTCGCGTATCAACGAAATACTAGAGATTAATAAAGATTGAACTTTTTATAAAACAAATGATGATTTGAGTTATTTCAATTTCAACTTGCAAGTTCAGACCAAATTTTTTATATTATATGTAGATTTCTTGAAAAATACTTTTGAGTTCGCTTAGTGGGTCCAGATTGGGTCCTTGTTTAAGAATAACAGTTCTAAAGAATTCAGATGTCGACATGCCAGAAGACATTCAATAGTTAGTAACCTTGCGGATATTTTTAATCTTTCTTTAATAATGTTGGACCCAGTCATAACATATTAGTGTCTATTATATTTAGTCAAGATTATGCCGAAATAGATAAAATAAACAAAAAATAATAATTGTCTATTTAAGAATTGGGTACAGGCGGTGGCCGTGGGGGCGAGTGGTTAGCATTGCGTACTGCTATTCGGAAGGCTTGGGTTGAAATCCTGGTGTCGTACTAACATCCGAAAATTTTTAGAAAATTTATTTCAATAAAAAAGTAAGCTAAGTTTTCTAATTGCGGTTGTCCCTCGGTAGGGAATGTAAGCCCCTCCGAGTGTATTTCTGCCATGAAATAAAGGCTCCTCATAAAAACATCAAGACGCCAAACCACAAATTGGGGGAGGAGCTCGGCCGAAAATCGCCATAGAGGCTACAAAGCGCCAATTTAATATAGAAAGTCAAAATTGCATATATAAAAAAGAAAAAATCAGAAAAATTTGTTGTCTTAGGCCGTTCCACAGTCTCTATTAACTTTCATGAACATTTCATATATTTTTCTTTTTTTGTTTTTTGATGATTTTAACTTCGAAATTTATATTTGAGAATTTCATTGCACATTTGGAAACATCAAGCTGTTGGTAAAAATTCGATAAATTGCAAAGCCACTTTCAGCTCGTTCAGTGAAGCGAAATCGCATCAGATGATCATAAGACTCCTGTTTTTGGATCAATTGCACTGTATAAGCTCATATCAAGATTTTTATGCAAAATATTCTGCAGGGCAGGGTATTAAATATTTAACTCCTGCGAATAGTGACAAGCTGACATTTATGGCTGTCCGAGCACACTTTAAGTCAAAATGGCAATATTTTCTTCTGAACGCATTGCACCAGCACGTACTCGAGTTCCTTGCCCACCGCCCGGAGGCAAGTTATTTCTATCGAGTTACGTGCATAATTGTATTACAGTTGCCGTTGAAAACTCACTATTTTGTATTGAAATTTTTAAAACTTATCAATTTTCTACAAGCGTAAACTGATCATTTTTGAAAATGGCAATACTCAAAAAATATCCAGTTAAAAAACAAATGTTGTATAATGAAAGCGAAACACTGCATACTCGTCGTCTGCCTGCTTATTATGACAAATGAAAATATATTCTTCTTATTTATTTACCATGTGTTATTTACGTTACGTGGGTTGCCTTTTATGTTTTGTTTGAGTTCATAACATATGTTTGAAACAATTTTCGAAGCACTTTTGCCATTCTGATGGAAGTATCTCCAAGAAATGTGTTCTGGATGCAACTTCAACTTCAACTGCAGAAAAACGTTGAATTTTCAGTTTGTTTTTTACGTTCGGTGCCACGTCGGGACCATGCAGTAGATGCCTTATCAAATAGATGTTTTGAGTGTTCAAAAATGCATTTGTTTCTGTTTATATTTGCGAGCTCGCAACGGCGTGGTGAAGAGTGATCCATTTTCGACGATTGGTTTCCCTAATTTCTTGAAAAGAAATGTAAATATAAACAAAAACTAAAATAAGAATAAAAATTTTAAATTAAAAAAATTAATAAATATTTTAATAATATTTTTTTTTAAATTTATTTATTAAAATTTATTTTAATTGTTTTTTTTTTAACTTTTTTAATTAATAAAATTAGCTATTATATATTTTCACTATTTACACATATAATATTTTTAATTTAAAATTCGAAATAGTCATAAGTAAACTTCTGCAATGAAATTGCATTGAAAGCATGAAACGATAAAAACGGTTATGCATTGGCTCCAGCAAACTACAAACACACGGTTATGAATGACTCAGAATTTAAGGTTCTGTACTAAGAGAATCTGTCTAGTTGTTCCAAAAAAAAAAATATAAAAAAAAAACAACAACAGGCATTCATTTGCTTGGAAGTGCTTCGTGCGCCAATAACTTTCATCGGATTCTGCTCATCTGTAAACACTCATACCGTCGACTGCTGTTAACCCTCGGGCTTATACACGTAAATCCACGATTTATTATCAGTCACGATGTCTTCTTTAAAGTAGTGCTTTGGTTTTTGTTTTTGACATTTCTCTCGATAAATCAACCGAAACCATATTTGAGTGGTTGAAAATTTGTGTGGGATCCAAGATCTAAGTGAAGAAATTTGTTTGTACTCAAATGTTCAGACAATATTGAATGTGTGCTGGTTCCACTAATGCCTATAGTGGACTCAGTATCTCAATAGATCACATGACGACCAGGCAATATAAGTTTGTCCACATCATCAATAGTTTCCGGAACAACAACTGATCGGCCGACCTTTACGAAATTAGTCTTGGAGTGATCATCGATTGAATTCGCCATATCATCGATAAACACTGGTTCTTGTGGAGCTTCTTCGATGTGCTGTTGCTGTTAATCTTCTCCTTCGTTCTAAAGAATAATTGCGAATTGCACAAAACTATTTGCGATTCAATACCACTCTTTGGCTGAGATTAATATTTGAAGTTACTGTAAACAACACAAATAGCTCTTCTAGGTCAGAACCTTCTGAGTATGCATAACGTCAGAAATGTAAAACATTACATTAAAGTCGTCAGTTGCCAGATTGCCAGATTGCAATACTAATGCAGCCGAATTCCGAAATATAAAAGATAACCCTCGTAAAATACGCACAAAAGAAGAAAACCCCACAATAAAGCAGATATTGCGCACTTTTATAAGTACATAAATTTAAATTTATCTAATGATGCGTCATGATGGTGGTAAAATATTTCAACATTACACTCTTGCATTTGTTGTTGTTAACATGAGCATACATACTTAATAAACTTGCTTGTTTTCGCAGTGAAATTTCTATGGTATTTTTGTGTTGAAGCAGACGACGTTTACTACAGCAAACATAAAAACAAAACATGTATACATTGAACTATTGCATCCCTATTACAGCAGAGAGTTTAATTAAATAGGTATTTAGTTTCATTCGTTCGCATTTTCTTATCCCATCCAAAAAAAAAGTTTCAAAAGACATTGAATGACGAAACTTCAAATTTGAAAACTTCGCAGCAATTAGTTAGTGGAGGGAGACATGACTTAGCAGCATTTGAACAAAAGAGAAAAATATGAATTTTTTGTTAAATGCATTGAGTACATACATACGTACATACTTCATCAGTGTAAACGTGTGACGGCTGTTAGTGACCAATGAAACTAATTGATAGCATAATCAGAAATGCAGTGAAATCAGAAACGAGTATTTTATTTTATGTAGGTCTGTGTGTTTTCTGTGCTGCAATAAAGAGGAAAATTGTCGGTCATCACTGATGCCATGCATTGGTTGAGAAATTATTAAAAAAAAATTTTATTTTTATTTTAAATACAAATAAGCGTCTTCTTCTATTCGTCAACCTATCAACAACACTTTCGACAGCCAATCAATATTACAACAATAACTTTTGTAGACAGACATTTGGCTTTTTCGCTGAGAAGAAAAATCGAATTTAATTATTTGAGACCAATTGAATGGTTGTATAATATATAAATGGTCATAAAAGAAAAAAGAAAATATTTTACAATTGCTGCTGCCATTGACATATAAATTTTGTAATAGCAAAATGTCTGAGCTTTTGTGAATACAATAAAAAAACACAAAAAAATGGGCTGAAAGAAGGCTGAAAGAAGGCCGGGCAAAATCACTTTTGTGAAATGGTTTTCTTGTTTATATATTTATTTTAAATAATAATGCCACTTATACAGCCGAATATACTATAAATATCGTCTGTGTAAAAAATAAATATACATATATATATGTGAATACCAGAAAGTACTTAACAAATGCAATGAAATTGCATTGAAAGCATGAAGCGATAAAAACGGTTAGGCATTGGCTATCATCCAGGAAACTACCACTGGCGGCACACAAAATCAGAGTTGCATTAATTAGCAGCAAAAAGTTGATAGAGGTGAATAATACACAAGTTGGGTCTGAGCTAATTACATTGAAGAACTTAAAAAAATAACTTGGCATTTTGATCGATAAGCGCTTATCTTATAAAGCTCCCATGGAGAACGCAGGTAATACAGCTTCAAAAGTCCTTGCTAGACTATCTCGCACGCATAGTGAGAGAAAAGAATTGAGCAGAGTGGTAGGTTCTATCCTGTTATTACGCCTTTCCCTTGTTTGGGTCTATGCTTTGATGCTTAGTTAACATAAAGCTCAAATCGAGTTATTTGGGGTAATCGAACGATATCTGGCGAAGCAGCTTATAACAAAGGCTGGTAAAATCCCAATTTGCATTCTTGTAAGCAAAACGAAAACAAAACTTTTATTTCTAGCAATTGCTACGAAATAAGACCGTGAGTCGGAGATGAATTGTTAATGTAATAATAGCCGAGTTAGTCATTTTACATACCTCCCAGCCGTAAAACCCAACGGAAAGAGGGTTAGACATGCTCAAGTTATTGATAGTGCAGGCAGCGGCAAAATGTTGCCAGCTTTTAGTATGCTTGCAACCCTAAAGCTAATCTATAATTTTTGTCAACAAATCTATATATATTCGAATATGAACGACAATCAAATATACATCATTTAAATGGTAATAAATAATTAATAATAATAAACTAAGTTTATTTTCTTTCGATTGTAATGTGCTCACTATTAGTTTTTGCAAAACTCGTTTATAAAAGGCATCGACACCATATATAAAGGCGAGCAATTAGCTGAGTCAGTTTTACGGTAAATCGCGGCTGGTTTCTGCGGGACAAGCGTCGGTAACGTCATCGGCAAGTGGTGGTAACTCTGCATTTACATGACGCTCTCATAAGATATGTTGTAACAACAGACTCGCTACGTTTTTAGCTAGTTGCAGCATAAGGCATCGGTCTCTAAGTGACTGGCAACAGCTCTGTGAAAGGCAGATAAACTTACAGCCTCATTCCTTATTTTAGTAGAAAGTTTGAAAGTAGATACGAGAACTCTGCTTTCTTTCAGATGCAATTCTTTTCAAGGCATGATATTTTGCGGAAATATCTCAATAGATTTTGCCATGATAATTCAGCCTCTTGTCCAATATGTTCAGAGTGTGATATGGGTGTGGAACATGTAGGGGTTCGTTGCACAAGATAACTATAAGACACCATCAAAGTTTTAAACAAAAGCTTTTTGATAATCTATTCGTCGATTTTCCGGGAGGAATGGCGAAATAATAAATAGCCTACTAAGCAGGATGAAACGGAAACATTATCTTTTCGCCTGCACTACTTCGATTTAACGGAAATAGGAATGGGAAGCAAGGACTTTCCGGCTATAAGCATAATCTCACCAAGAGAGCAAGGAGCGGAAGCTATTTCCTTCAGCCTGCAGTGGAATATGGTAGACTGGAGACTAGATCTCACCGTCTAGCTAAGTACAATAGTTTATAAATCATTATTTGTTGTTAAAGTGCAAGCCACGAGGTAATTCATTGGTAGTTCCGCGGGGAGCGATTAGTTAGTGTTGGAAGTTAGTGTTGAGGTGTTTAGTATGTAGGTGCAAATGTGAGGTTGCTAGTCATGCATACTGTTATGTGGGTATAGGAACAGTAATGAGACTTACCACTTCATGGGCGTGATCTCGAAAAAAAATTGAAATGTGTGGAACGAACAAATTAGCAAATAATAAATTTTTTCTTTATATTTTTGACTTTATTTATTTATTATTGTTTTTTTTTCATTTTTACAACAAAACAACACAATGAACTTACTGCCGAAAAAGTTTATGCCAGACGAGTTTAAGCCAAAGTTGGTGGATTTTCAGGTTGTTTCCATTGCCAATTGGCCCAAGGTATGCATTCTTTCAGCAAGTGCATATACGCCATGCCACTCGGACAATCCTTCTCGACAGCGGCTTCACCAAGTGTCTCGCAGAACCAATATTTAGCTGGATCGAAATGATGTGTGTAGGTTTGTCCGATTTCGGTTGGGTCTTCACAAGCCGAACGGCCAGCGTCTGCGGTGACCTTGACTAGAGTCACAGCGGCGAGTAGTGCAAGACAAATAACTGTGCGATTAAAAAAAATGTAAAAGTTATGTTAGTAATCTTTTTTTTTAATTAAAAAATATTTTTCAATATATATAGTGTAATCTATATTATACTTATGTACCAAATCTCATTTTATGTGGGTAAGTATTTCTAGTGCAGCGAACAAACAATAATTAGTTGCTCCATGGGAAACAGCTTTTATAGAGAAGAATGTCATTAAAATTGCACTGGTGAGTACTACAATCAATTTGTTTAACATTTGAATGCTTGTTCGCAAATTATAAAAACAACAAAAATGAGTTGTTATCAGTTATTTCTAAATAATTTTTGTGAAATATGTTTTTTTCTTGCATAGTTTGGCGCATGCAGTTTATGCATGAATCATTTACAAAAAAAAAAGTTTATTAGAGTCTGCAAGGTCACCTTCTTAGGAAGAACAAAGAGACTGAGAACGTTGAAGTGAAAATTGATAAAAAAATACTGGTTTGGTATTTGAAAGAATAAGGCAGCCGCTGAGTTAATAAAGATCAATAGAAATCCATAAAGTCAATTGACCTAGAAATGGTAAGCTATATCTAATAAAGGTTGGTAACTATAGAGTTAGTTCAGATTACTAACAAATATCTAAAATTTTTTGAAAACTCTGGTTTTACCAATTTGATTAAGTCTGGTTGATAACATCCTATAAAATTAACTGGGTAAGGATAGATTTGATTGCTTGTTCCGGATAAGCTCCAACATATGCTTTATTTTGCTCAAAACAAAATTTTTTTGGAGCCGTCATAGTCGAGTGGTTATTGGAGGGTCATGAGTTTTAGCCCTTGCCAGACTAACATCCAAAATTGTGGTAAGTTAATTAAAAATAATATTTTTTTAAACGGCCACCCGCTACTAGTGTATTTTTTGCTCGAAATAGGAGCTTTTTATACAAATCCATCAGGCTTTTCATCAACTTCCTATAGACGGGAACAGATCACTTGAACCTCTCCTTTCGCCGGAAATTCGTGCTAGTAACTATCGATATGTGTGGTCTGGTATTGTTCTAATGAAACAGGAAGGCTGGGAGATTCTGGACGATTTCTCCTTACAGACGGTTCAATTTAGAGTTTGGACGTAGGGGAGCAGCTCATAGTGGAAGGTTCTTTGTCAATTCCATTAAATGCACAAGGAAATCTTCCTGGCCATCAATCCTGATTTGCATACCATTTGTACTGGCTTACTGCCTTTCGACAACGACTCTTTTCACTTGATATTGCTGTTAGTGATCCACTTCTTAAATCCTCCAATTCAGGCACGAAAAAGTCGTGTTTCATGGCTCGAAAGTGATCCTCGTTGACTGCAACATTATGACCAGCTTCATTTTAGAAGAAATGTGGACCAATGATTCCCTCTAACCATAGAACCCACCAACCAGGGTCTTTTTGAGGATGTAGCATCTTTTAAAAAATGGCTTGTGACAAATAAGTTTATTATCGTACCCATTCAACCAAAAGTGAGCTTCATCGCCACGCAAATTTTTTTTTGTGAAAATTAAGATCGGTGGCTATCACCCTTTGGGCCCATTCACCGAACACTTAAAACACTTGTTCGGCTGAAATTCTTACACGACTTGAGATTTGTAGCCCGGCAAACAAAGATCCTTCCGCAAAATATTCAATGAAGTGCATGGAGAGAGTGCCAAGTTTTGCGCTCAAGTGGCTCCTTGCGCCTACTTCAATACTCTGCTCTTGCACATTATGAAGTGGAGAAAACGTGGTGCGAAACCGATTCATGGTTGCCCAAATTGCCGCCTCTATTAGGCGCTTACGTCGACCGAATATTGGATGCTTCGCACGAAGCGAACCAGAAGTAATTTTGTTCTTTATGGAAGGGTAAACCGAGCTGAGCATCTTATTGGTAAAAGCATGATGTGACCGATACTTTCTAGGTGCCGATTCACCATACTTGTTGCCCTATAGCCAATTTGTAAAAAACAACTTGGTTGAGGATTGGTCTGAAAGTACTGCGTGAATGAATGAACAATGAATATTATTAGAACATAAAGAAAAAGCATAATTTTTTTATTTGTTCGCATAACTAATTTGAAAGGAAAACACATATTCGATGGTGCGACATAACTGTATGTAAAATCTGCACAAATATTTTAAAATGTATTTTGCGAAACTATTAATTTGGTTTTAATAGTTTTCGGCTACTTTTTCGCAGTATTTAACTCAGCCCATGATGGCGCTGTTGGCGTTGATGATGATGACGATGAGTGGCCTATTAGTAGCGCCTCAAGTGCCTCAAAAACTTAGCCACTTGACCAAGTTGCGAACAATTCGATTGTTGTTGTGCACTAGTAAAATAAATAAACAAAAACAAAAAAACTATTAAACAAGCGTGAGAGGCTCGCTTGCCGCCAGCAAGAGGTGAAGTTATGTGAAGTAAAAAGTGTTACAAAATATTTTTCAACGATTAAGTACAACAAAATATTACGAATATTTTTTACAAGCAATACGCTAACGGCCTTAAGCCACACGCGTTGCAATTGACTGCATGATGAATTTGGTGGAGGAAGGTTTGGTAGTGCCAAGCCAGCGGCCACCTAAGCCACCAACGCTTCTGTGTAGAGTTTGCGGTTTGGCTTTTCGTTATTGCTAAGGGCGAAAGTGAATGCGAAATGTGTATAAAATAGTATATATATATATACAATAATTATGGGCATGGCTTTACATATGTAAATAAAAACTTAATATTATTTAATAACTGTAAAAAATGCGATGTCAATGATGATGACATTTGCAAAATTTTTGCGTAATTCATCAAATGACTTTTAAGTAACTGTAACAAATCGATCTGCTCTTATGTATTATTGAATATAAATATATGTATATTTACAATATTTGGCAGCTTGGAGTACTTTATAGCAAAGGTCGTAATCATTATGGGTTTTTTATTCAAAATAGTTGTCAATCATTCATTAAGGATTTAAAAAATTCCGCTATTTTATAATTATTTAGTTTTAAGAAAATATTCATTAAAATTGTGTTTATGCCTTAACTCAAAAGTAGTAATTAAGTCCATTTTTTTAACATTTGGTCTGGTCGAACATTTCGACAAACGAGGCACCAATGAGGTATACCTAATTCGAATGCGCTGAATTTCTCTTTTTTTTAAATATTTGAAATATCATATTTTTTTTCTATTACGAACGACCACTGTTTTCTTGTCAAAAAGCTTCGGACTCCCTCGAAACTCACTTAGCCGGGGTTTTTTTGAAGTCACTTAATGACAGAGCCAAAATCCATTTAAAAAAATATAAATACGTTTGAAAAGAAATTATTTGATAGAATCAATTATTTACTAAGCAAATTATATAGTGAAGTTTTCTTTTTTTCATTCACTGAGTGCTCACATTCCAACAAATGCACATTGCGTAACTGTACCAGTGTTTAAGACTTAAAGTTATTGTTATTATTCAGCGAATTTTTCCACATGGCATCGGCATTCGCACATTCCACATTTAAACGGTGAAATCAGAGAGGATGTCGTCAGTCAGTTGGAGCCAATTTTTAAACCGATTAATTGAAAGGGGTTTCCTTTTTCAAACGACAAATGTCCGCTTAATTATATATTCCTGTAGAGAGACCATACAATGAAATAAAATATCAATTGATCTGTAATCATGTCCAGATAGAGCCGAATTCATACCTTCTTTTATTTTCATCCCACTTAACCGTAAAAAACACGCTGAAATTCAATTAAAACATTTCCTTCTGGACTTAATGCTTTTACGAAATTTTGGATAAATCCTAGTTGCAGAGCAGTGCTAGCAGAACCTTCCGGATTGTAAAATTTTTATAATGCTGTTTTTTCCCAATTCTATCTTCCGTAAGGGCCAGTTTCATTCATTGTATTCGATAACGAGCGAGGTTTCATTCAAGGTCATTCTTCATCGTGTGACTTTTTTTTATTGCTGCAGAAAATAACACGAGCTCAGGAGGTAAATAGAGAAGGTACAATCTTGTACAAGCGTGTAAAGCTGCTCTCGTCCGCCCATGATATCGACATTATAAGTCTTCACAACCACACCCTGAGTTTTGCTTTATCCAGAATTGATAAAAAAGCGAAGCGAGTGGGTCGGGTAGTGAATGAGGGCAAGACGAAATATCTCCTGTCATCATCGCACTCGCGACTCTGCTCTCATGTCACTGTTGACAGTCATAATTTCGAGTTCGCAATACTTACCAGGAGCCAGCATTAACAACAATAATAACGTCATATAACAATAATAACTGAGTAGACAACTGAAAAATAGAGTTCTCTCTCGGCGAACGAAAACCAAACTCTACAAGTCACTCATCATACCGGTACTACTATATGGCACAGATTTGTGGATGATGTCAATATTTGATAAGTTGAATCTAGGAGTCTGCGAGGGAAGAGTTTAGCGAAAGATTGAAAGATCAGGTGGAGAATTACCTGGCTTCCATTGGCATTTCCAACTGTCGTCATACAGCGAAAAGCGGTGCCAATGACAATGAAGAAAAAAAAATGTGTTGATGACTCGCTACTGCCGGGTTATTATACCGTAACTATGCGGATTTTTATCCGGCCAAGAACTCTCACTCCTGGAACATTTCCCAAAAGCTACTTTGGGGAATATTTTTTCGGCTACAACATTGATTGCTCCATATATACGAACGTATGGTGCCTAAATACTCACTTGTTTCAAATCTTTTGCTAGAAGAAAGGTTTGCCATTCCGATAATTTCAAGCGCCGTACCATACTATGCAAACGGTCTTGTGACATTTGGTGGTTGGTACGCAGATACATTCGTTTTTCCAGTTTCCAGGTGGGATATATTCTTCTGTTGGACTGGGTCCTCCTACTCGGAATTGGAATTTTTTCCGAAAGTTAGATCTACTTTTTCATCTGTTTCAGGGCCCAAAGAGGAGATTTACTGACAGATGCCTAGAGTACACTGAATGTACGGAAACAAAAAAGTGGCGTGTGTCGACCGGCAAAGAACTGGTACTGTATGGCATCAGTATCGTACGACAGATTGAATAAAAGCTGTCTGAATGTTCGATACGAAAAAAAGTGGCCATTTCGAACTCAATATGAAACAGTAGGAAAATTCTGTTTGGGAGTCAATGGGGCTACTTCGAAGAAGATGTCCTCTAACTGCTGATCTGCTCTTGAGTCTATACAGTAAACCCAAAAACTGGAGCATCGGAAGGTTACATACGCTTACAACACGAACAAAGTTCCTGAATACTCTTTTTTGACTAGACTTAGGAAAACGCGAACCACGCAATTTGACATCCATTTGTTGGTCAGCGCTGATTAGACTCGCTTCACGTCAGCTCGACTACTTTGATTATCTGATTTACATCGCAACTCTAATTTTTTTTTTTTTTAATTTTTTACGACTCATGAGTATGTACATACATATAGGAAATTGAGTACACATATATGCCATTTTTGAGCGCACCATTTTGAACAGATTCTGCTAAGTGCTTTCTCTTGTTTACCATGAAAAATCTGCAGTATTTTGGTGAAATTGATAAAAATCTAAACCACTCTTACAGAGTTAGTGACAGTTAAAGGGTATAAATAGAAACTCTCAATGTTGGAAATTGATGCAATATAAATTTGAAATACTCAGAATCAGTTGCTCATAAAAAATATCAAGCATAAAATGCAAAAAGGTATTAAGCCCCCTCGTAAAACAATTATAATTAAGAAAAAATTTTAACATTCTGTGACAATTTCAGTTTCAATTGTGGTGCTATTATTGGCTGCTGTGGCCACTGCCGTGCACATACAACAACGGTATCATGGACAAGACATCTATGCCGAACCCGATTGCTCTATTGTAGATGATCATTCACGCATGTTCCGCGACATCTCTGATCCAACACACTACTGGGTGTGCCCCGAAGGTCAGGAGGAGGCCGATTATATACAATGTCCCGACAATTATGCTTTCATGGAGAAGGAACAGAAATGTGTTGTGTGGGAAGAATGGAGGTGGGTTGAGCCATACACAAAGTAAATGGGCTAAAGGATTGAAATTGTTTTCGACGTACTTGAATACAATTTGCGGTACTTAAAATAAATCCGAAAAAAATAATAACTTATTATTATTTACTTACTTTACTGGCGAAGACACCGCTTATTCGATTATAGCCGATTTAACAACATTGCGCCATTCGTTTATTCTTTTTGTTGTTTGACGCCAAATTGGAAAAACCAAGTACAGCCCGGTCCTTCTCGGACAATAAATCTTACGCAAAACCTTTCTCTCGAAAACTCATAACGCCGACTCATCAGATGTTGTCATCGTCCATGCTTTCGCACCTTATAGCAGGACGGGTAGAGTTTGGATCTCGTTTGTCGGGACAGGACTTTACCTTTCAATTGCCCACTCAGTCCAAAGTAGTACGTATTGGCAAGAGTGATTCTGCGTTGGTTTTCAAGGCTGACATTATTGTTGGTGTTGATGCTGGTTGCTAGATAGACGAAATTATCTACGACTTCACAATTATGACTGTCAACAGTGACGTGGGAGCCAAGTCGGGAATGCGCTGACTGTTTGTTTGATGACAGGAGATATTTCGCCTTGCCTTGGCATCTTTATCAAACCTGGAGAAAGCAGAACTCAGGGTGTGACTGTGAAGGCCGATAATGTCGATATCGTGGGCGGACAAGAGCAGCTGTACACTCTTGCAGAAGATTGTACCTTCTCTATTCAGCTCTGCAGCTCTTAGTATTATTGGCTCCAGCAATAAGTTAAAAAAGTCGCATGATAAGGAATCATCATGTCTGAAACATCGTAAGTTATCGAACGGCTCGGAGAGGTCCCGATCCTGGCGGAGATTTTAGTGTTGCTCAGAGTCAGTTTACATATCCGTATAAGCTTTACAGGGATACCAAATTCAGATACAGAGGCGTAAAGGCAGCTCTTATTCGTGCTGAGGAAGGCTGCTTAAAAATCCACGAAGAGGTGGTGGGGGTCCTTTCCAAGATTTGACGCATGATGAATATCTGGTCATTGGTTGAATTACCAGGTCTGAAGCCACACTAATAAGGTCCAATCAGTTTGCTTACGGTGGGCTTCAGTCTTTCACACAATACGCTCGACAGTACCTTCTAGGCGTTATTAAGGAGGCTTATTCCGCGGTAATTGGCGCAGACTGTGGGGTCCCCTTTTTATGGATTAGGCAGAGCCCACTTCAATTCTAATCGTCGTGATGCATGCATTTTTTCAACTCTTCACCGCCATGTTTGAATAGTTCAGCCCGTCGATCGTTAGCTCCCGTCGCCTTGTTGTTTTTAAAGCGGGCGATTGCTATTCAAACTTCTTCTTTGTCAGGTAATGGAACGACTTTTCCTTCGTCTTATTATAAATTATTTTAGAAATTGAAAAATTTGCGTTATTTTTTGGGTAACGCTTGGTGTTTTCAGAATAATAATAAAGCAAAGCCGATGCAAGAGTTGTTGTTGTTGTTGAGGCGGCAAGTCCAACCACGCGAGCTGTTTCGCCGCTCTCGTATCAGAGGGAAAGGTGGAAAAGGTGCTCTCTCTCCCAGCAAATATAGCAAATATGAAAATAATTTTTAGTTTCGAACACAATGCGCTTAGGTGAAAAGCTAATGAAAGTTAATACGCCATATTGTAGTTGCTGTCGATACAAAATTTGAAAATGACTTTGAGTGCTCACCGACACAATATAAAATTGAATAAAAACTCTTCTCTTGCAGGAACATTGTTTTCTCAGTATTTATGTACAGTTTATTCCGTAAATAAGGTAACTCGAATTTTGGCTGACCCTAATGTACATACTTAAAGTCATAAATGTCAAATTAATGCATGTAAGTATATCTTTGTATCGCTGTTTCAATAAACTGCTGACAGCCGAAAAATAAATAATGAAAATTGGACGCAATAAAGCAAGGCAATGACGGTTATTTGTAAATTTCTAACAGCCAACGTACATTAGATATTTGTATGTATTTATTACATATACATATTTTATTGTAGGTACAAAAAAAAAAAACAAACTTATAAATTGTAAGTGCTTTGCATTAGCATTTCTTCACCCACTCATATTCGTTCACTTACAAGTGTTTATTTGAAAAGTTTTCGAAAATTACAATCAAATGACCAAATGCACTCTACGTGATTATACGAGGTACGTAGAGAGGTGTGTGATATTTGTATGTATGTTTTTATAATTAGTTTTATTTATGTACATACATATTTATGTATTTTTAGGTGTGTAAATAAAAAAGTAAAATGAATTATAAATATAATATTTATATAAACATATTTTTACTGAGCATTTTTCTATTCTGATACACCAATTATATTTAAGGGTCAATAAGTCTGTTCAGCTGTTCGTAAAATGTATTGCAGGCAATACCTTTGAGTGACTCAATGGTCAATGCATGTGTACGTAACTGTATGTATGTATATGCCCAGTTGAATAGAAATACCAACGAAATAGTATAGTTTCTTTTTTCCTTATTTATAGTCAAAAAAAAAACAATATATGAAGATATGTATGTACATGCATTTACTAATGGAACTGCTTGTCCAATTGGTTTGTACAAGAATCAATTTGTTTCTGCTGCTTCAGTTTACATATAACATGGATGTTAATAAATGAATTTTTAGTTAGAATTGGTGAGAAAATATATACACATGCTATGCCGCCTATAGACTACAAAGCTACTGAGCCGATTAAGTGCAAATGTTCAAGATTAATTGGGATATTTTTGAAAAAGTTGTTATCTGTCGGAAAAATAAAATTCCGCTAAAATCTATTTTATTGTTCCATATCTTACTATCTAAATTAAAAAAAGGACCACTTTCCTTCCAAAAATTTCATTTATTTTCCAATTCAATTAAAAATTTTCGTAGTAAAACCGATAATAATATTATTGACAGTATTTATTTATGGTTAAATTATGTTGAATTTTTGTACGAATGTGCCTCTCGTCTAGATAATTATATGCCGAAAACGTAAAAGCTTTTGCATCCATAGAGGTTTCGAGTTATTCTTATTCGTTTTACGTTATTAGACGTAAGCGTTGATCATGAATGAGTAGCATAAAAGCAACCAATCTCTCACTATATCTAACATTAAGAAAGTAAAAATAACTCAGCCGCTAGATGGCGTTAGGAAGATATTTTGCACTACAACATAACTCAGTAGTGTTTGAGCGCATGCCAAGGATGGATACCAGAAAAGAGGAATAACGCTGTACTACACGCTGTACTCCACAATTTTTTCTCGCGACTTGACCCCCACGTCAGTAGTGACAGTAATAACTTTGAAACGTGGATAATTTCGTCTATCTTGGAACCAGTATTAATATCAACAACAATGTCAGCCTGGAAATCAAACGCAGAATCACTCTTACCAACAAGTGCTACTTTGGACTGACTAGGCAACTGAAAAATTAAAGTCTTCTCTCTACGACGAAAACCAAACTCTACAAGTCACATATCGTTCCCGTTGTGCTGTACAGTGCGAAAGGATGGACGATGACAACAGGTGAGTAATCGTCCTTGAAAGTTTTGATGCATTAGCCGCCGGTGGAAGGGGTGCAAGAGAAAGACCTCCACTCCGTTTAAAAAGACCTGGCTGTACTTACTGTTACCAATTCGGTTAAATTTGGCTACAATCGCGTAAGCGGTCAGTAAAGTAAGTAAGTAAAGGTGAAAAGTGATTAGAGTCGATGGTCCCAATATTACAGCAATAAATAATGCACATTTTTGGTGTGTCGATTTCGTTCTGGTAATTTTGATGTAAAAGATGCTTCAAGGTGTGTCACCATCGTTTGGAACCACTTGAAAAAGGCTACATTCACAAAGCAGCTCGATGTATGGGTGGTACATTGGTTAACGAGGAAAAACCTCATGGACCGAATTTCCTTTTGCAAAATGGCTGATGAGTCGTAACAAAATCAATTCATTACTGAAGCGTATGAGGACTAAATACGGTGCTTGAAGATCAGTGAGTCGGTATGTTTGGTGGGATTAGCAAGGAATCATACACTATGAGCTGCTTCCCTATATTAAAACTATTAATTCGTGTTTCATCAGGACAAAACCAGACCACACACATCGATAGTGACTCTTCAGAAGCTGCGATGTTGTCTGCGCTACGTCAAATTATTAAGGAATACATTATTTTATGCTTTTAAGTCTATTTCTTTTTAATCGCCAGATACTTCATTTATTTTTTCAATAATTATTTTACTCTTACAATAATAACTTATGTTTACCCTATCTATTGGTCAAGTAAAAAGTTCGTTCGGTTTTTTTTATTGATTTTTCAAAATATGATAACTTGTGTACATTTGTTTGATTTAAGTCAAATATGCACCGTTTTGTTCGTGAGCTATTGCCAACGGGATGCCAACCTCATTATACCCCTCTCGTAGAAGACTGCGTCCCTATTGGCAAAAAACTCGCAGAGTCAATTTTCACAGGCCTTTCTTCAGACCAACTTCTCACCATTAAGCGCGTTCGCCTTGGACTTGGTACCAGGTCTGGACTATAAAGTGGGTGTATTAAAACCTCCCATCCGAGCTCCTGGAGTTTTTGGCGCGTCACCAAAGACGTGTGTAGTCTGGCGTTGTCCTGATGGAACACAATTCGGTCTCTGTTGATCAAAGATGGCCTCTTCTGGATTAGTGCTGCCTTCATGAGGTCCATTTGTTGGCAGTAGAGGGCCGAATTGAGCGTTTGGCCAGCGTTTGGGAGCAGCTCGTAGCAGATGATTCCTTGCCAATCCCACTAAACACACAGCAAAACCTTCCTGGCCGTCAATCCGGTCTTGGCCACCAAGACGGTTTGCGCTCGATGTTGTTTTAAGTAACCCAATTTTTCATCGCCAGTCACAATCCGCTTTAGAAACGGGTCGATTTTGTTGCGATTCAGCAGCGATTTGCAGATGGAAATTCGGTCCATCCAGCTTCTTTTTGAATCCAAGGTTATGCAAATGGTTCAAAAAGGTTTTCTGACCTATCTTTAGTTCCTCAG